TGCTGATAACATAATTTTCAAATGAATAAAGAGCCAGAATCAGCCATGGTATACCAATAGATATAAGTGCGAAACTCAGTGATGAACCCAAATTGACGACAATGATTGTCCGTTGTTGGATTGTGTGAGTGATGAAGTATGGAGTTGCTGTTCTGAGAAATACTAAACTGATAAGACAAATCATTACCAAAAATTTCCACAAGTGCATTATCTATTTTTGAAGTGATGAAACCTGTTCACACCTCTAACAATAAAGTCTCTCTGTAGAATATCGCTAATCAGCTTCAATGCCTCATGACAACCCCTGAACAGTCTCAAGTTCTTCATTACTCTGATTGTGACACCTTTAGGTGGGTGCGTTTATTAGTCCAAAGGCCAAGGCAAGTTCTTCACTATGTAAGCTCACAATTTCCTATTTGGCTTCCTCTTCCACATCAACAAACACCAACACTTTAGTTCCTACGTATCCCCTTTCATTCTCTCTTCCAATTCCCTTAGCAGACTCGGAATCTCTGTTTCTTTCAGTACATTTAGACATGTCTCCAGCACGGCACAACTAAGTGGGTTCTTTTACCTCAATCCAACTACTGCCAGGTTCCTTGTAGACTCCAGTATGCTTCATTTCAGATCGTAGATTATGAGCATTTTCCCAATCCCCTGCCAGTGCATATGCGTTGACCAATGTAACATATGCACCATCCACTTCTGGGTTGGACTCTAGTATCCTATTACTGGCCTCAATGGCAATGTCTACCCTGCCATAAAGCCTACTAGCTGAAAGAATGGTCCCCCACAACATGGCACGTGCATCACCTTCAACTTGAACTGATTTTGCTAACTCGTATGCTTCTTCAATTCGTCCTACTCGGCCTAACATATCTGCAACGCAAGTGTAATGCTTTGCATCAGGAATCACCCCATATTTTCCATTCATTGAGTTAAGTAACTCAAGTCCTTTATCTACAAGCCCTGAATGACTGCAAGCGTGCAAAACCCCAACAAAGGTGACATCGTTAGGTTTTATACTTCTAACAACCATTTCTTGGAACAGTTGAAGAGATAATGTACCAAGTCCATACTTTGCAGCACCCACAATCATTGAAGTATAGGGAATCACAGAAGGAATTGAGATTCTCCTAAAGACTTTGGCTGAATAATTCACACAACCACATTTGGCATACATGTCCACAAGTGCACTGGCAATCACATCACTAGCATCCTGTCCAAGCCGGATGACCACACCATGAGTGATTTTGCCATCACCCAGGCTTCCCAGACTCGCACAGGTGTTGATTGCACTGCTGAGCATGAAATGATTGGGTCTGTCCAAACCAGAATGATTGAATTCTTTAAACAGTTGTAGAGCAGTGTGCCCTTGTGCATTCTGAGAATATGTGGTGATCATGGAAGTCCAAGAAACCACATTCCTTGTACACATGGAATCAAAAATCAGGCGAGCCTCAACAACATGGTTGCACTTGCCATACATATCAACGAGGGAAGAACATGCAACAAGGTTGGACTGAAGGCCCGAAACCTCAACAAGAGCATGAAGTCTTCTACCAATCTCAAGATTGACGAGGATAGAACATGCATTGATGAGAGTGGCAAATGTAAATTCATTGGGCAGGACGACGGTTCCTTGCATTTGACGGAAGAGACAAAGTGCCATGTTCGCTTGATCCAAGCCAACATAACCAGCCATAAGCGAAGTCCAGGACACAACATTACGCTGAGGCATTTCGTCGAACAGTTTTTGTGCATTGTCGATTCTAAAGAGTCTAAGGTAGCAATTAATGAGATGGTTGGCAGCAAAAGTGTCATTCGAGAAACCGAATTTGACAATGTTAGAGTGGGTTGATGTTGCAGAAGCTAAATCCTTGCAAGTTTGGAGCTTTGCAACGAAATGAGCTTTGATATTGGTGTGGAAATGGAGCGATGGTAGTTTATGTTGTTGTGGAAGAGAAGAAGAAAAAGAGGTGCTGAGAGAATTTATCAAATTGGGTCTCAACGCCCGCTTCATCTTCCCTTAGTTCATTCAGCAGATAGACTGAGAATAAGAAAATTATAAGTGGAAGAGGACCTTCTCGACATTTCAATGATAAAGAAAATTATTAATTACTTCCAATGATAATTCAATATTCGATGTCAAAGTTTATTTTAACTATTATTAAAATAAATTGCAGTGAAGAAAACATCCATAATTAATTAATAACTAAAAATATATGACATTGAATAATTCATATTTATTAGTTAATGAAAAGAGAAAACTTCAAATTTAACTCAATTTAAAAAATTTAACTTTAAACTTTAAATCATAGTATCTATTTCCAATAAAATAAAATTTTCTTAATTCTTGCTTCATATGTAAGACTAAATTGAACTAGGCTTTTAGAAAAATTATCAACATTTTAACATATATAAGAGTCTTGCACAAATAAAATTTCCCCCAAAATTAGTTATTTTAGTGTATATATATATATAGTAAATAAATAAATTAAAAGCCATACAAATTATACAAATTAAAGAGTAGTACAATATTGACAATTAATGAATAATTAAAAAATAATAACATGTGAAATGAGAATATAGTAGGTCTTAGGATAAGAATACTATTATAAGTGTTACGTGTGAAGTGTACTGACAACAGAGTGGAGATGAGATTATTTTGATTCTAGTAGAGATTTAACTCAGAAAAATATTTAGTTGAGAGACAAATGAGATTTTTATTCATTTATCTTGTCATATTCTTTGAGTAAATAATGACAAGTACAAGGATTCATTCTACTTAATAAAGTCAAATGTATAATTGTATATAAATGTGTCACGTGTTATGATGACTTTGTATGTGATACACTTTAAACATTTGGTGTTTTTGAGTATTATGTGCAAATTAAAAAAAAAAGAGTTGTTCTTATTATTGTTTAGTATTGTGTTATGATTTGTACAGTATTATAATAATATATTGTATGTAAGAAAAAAAAATACTCTAAGTGAGAAACTGCTAAAGATTGAATAGTGAGTAATGATTGTTTGCGTATAAAATTTTTGTATTGTATAAATCATTCCGTTAATAATAATTAATTATATTTCTAAAATCCAACTTAAATTTTGTTATAAAGAACTGTAAATATATCTTATATACTTAAGTTTATTTTGTGTGTTTTTATCAATTATATAATGCTATGATTAGTAAGATTATCCTAATGAATTATTCATTTTATACTTACTTTCTACTTTTAACTAGTATTAATAAGAGTTTTAAAACATCATGATTCCATGAAGCTTTTATTTGCAGTGCTGTCATACATTGCATGATATGGTTAGTTTGTATGGATTGGTTTCCTAGAATAATAAAAAAACACATTTTACAACATTTACATGATCTTCCTTCACTAGTTATCATCTTGCACTACAAAGAATCCTCTACAACTTATTATGGAAATCAATCACCAAATAATAATAATAATAATAGATGTGTAAAGCGACTACAAAACAGTCTTATATAATGCACTAAAAATAACATAAAAATACAAATAACAATCCCAAATGTTGATATGGATTAAAATTTTGATGTGAAGAATATAATTCAACTTAATCCAAATTAGATCCAACCTCGCCTTGGAAAGCTACATCCCTAAATTTCATACTACACCCCATAATTTACCGACTACAGTTTTTTCTGTTCTTAATTTAAGTTCTAAATTATGCTATTAGTAGATTTCCTGAGTTATATCATTCAAAACCCAATAAATTTTATTTTTATATTCTGAGTTATATAATTTAAAATGTAAAATTAATTTTTAAAATTATACATCTCATAATGTAAAATAAATATTTCGATTTAATATGCCACATGGTCTGATATCTTTCGACACAGTGGTTAAGTTTGACATGACTCCGACAAAAAAGAAAGGAAAGTGGAAAAACATACTTTGGAGATCGGAGGAGAGAAGGGAAGGACATATGAATAAAGGAGCAAGTGAAGATATTGAAAACAAAAAGAATAAAAGAATCTGAAAATAAATCAAATCTAAGTAACAGTGTTTTATTCTTAGTTTTAAGACTAAAGAGATAAATATTTACTTTTATAAAATTAAAATTTCTAAAATCATAATCGAATATAGAAATTATATTTTAAATATAAAATTATTGTCAATAATGTATAATTTTTTAATAATAATTACTAAAATTCAATTTAGATTGATAAAAAAAATGCATATTTAAATCAAGTACACTAAACAGTTTAAAAAAATAACAAAACATATAGTTTATATAAAAGATTTCAACTGTGCAATATGTAAATTATAGATTTAAAGAAAATTGTAGAAAACTTATGATTACATATACTTAAAAATATAGTTCATTTATAAAGTTTCTTATTTTTTAAGATCCTTGTTATCTATTATTTTTCAATATATTATTAAATTATAATATATTTCACACATAATTTATTTAAAAACATAAATAAATTGTTCGACTAGTTATCCCAAAACTCTGGAAGATGAAAATTATTCTGGTTTCGACGTCCCTTACACAAAAAACATAAATTTAAAATTAAAAACTTCACACCAAAGTATCCATAAAAGCTTAAAACTGGCAACAAAAGTTGCTTTCATGTTTTTGAATGCCAAGATTCATAATTGCATTTGAAGGAATGATGAACAACAATGATATAAAATCATAAAGATTCATAAATAAGACATATACATCACTAATGATCTTTAGAATCATAGGGATAATTTGATTTTCAAACAGATATAAAATATCATAGACACTACAAAAATGTAGTAAATGTCACTGGAATATTGTCATAGACAAATAATGTAAGAAACCATAGCTATTGGGTTTAGATTTAAAAGGCGTACCCATTCACCTGATAATTTTTCTAAGCTGATAAAAAATATAATTTCCCTGGAGCGCTAACAATTTTTGGGGAGCAAATAACAGACGGCATCAAAATATGTTGAGAAGGAATTGCAGCAATCAGAAGCCAAAAATATGGTGAAAGTGTCAGAGAGCTGGATTATGGAATTGATTACAATTTCCCAACATGATCACACATCTACAGGAGTTGTCCATACCTGGACATGGACGCAAAATATACAAGCACGCAGCTCCTCCTTCAAGGAAACTTTAAAAATAAAACTCATTTCATTTGCAGAAGTTCAAGCATTTTCATTTCGCAGTAACCACTTCATTTGCAAAATCATTTAGACCACGTCAAGCCAAGTACTTGAACATGTTAGCATTATCTTTGTCTCTTTCCAAATAGTCTCGAGAAATCAAATCTTCTATCCGCTTTTTAATAGCCTTGACGTCAGGCTGCACAATGAAATCCAAATGTTAAAAAAATCAGGATTTGAGAGAAAAACATAATATTATGTTTGGAGAATGGCTACATATATACCTTAAACATGCGACCCAACTGTTCAACACACTCCACGACTAATTGTTGGTAGCCCAAAACTTTCCGACTCTTCATAATACGCACAATTGAGGCATCGATAGCATATCTTCTGTCCTTATCAACATCCTCAATTACTTTCTTCTTCTCATCCACGGGAGGGAGAGGAATCTGCATACAGAATTTGTCAATTCCGCCCTAAAGTTCATAAATAGAAAAAAGGTCAAGATTAAAACACATTTTAAATAAAATTATACCTTGATTCTTCTCATTTTGTCAGTAAATTTAGAATTAAATTCAAAATAATCAGTGGATGATATTGTTTTTGTATTTGGCTCCTTGATGAGAATCTTGTACTTGGCACACGACAAGGAATGAAGCAGTCTAATAACATCATCGTCCGATAAGTTTAATTGAGTCATTATCTCTGAGTAACTCAGTCTATCTGACAAGTTAAAAAGCAGCAATGCTGAAGCCTATTAAAAAAGCGACAAAGAGAAATTGGGTCAGTTGAAAATATCCAAGATTCGATGGACGTCACAATTTCAAAATGAACAAGTGAAAAGGCATAATATTTATATAATTACAGATAAATAAAGCAGGTAAGTAATATTACCTGGTAGGTTGTAACAATCAGCTCCACGGTTTTTGGCTCAAATTTCCCACTTATATTACAGGTTCCCAAGGAATATATCCATGTAAGTTTTCTGTGCTTTGTTTTAGTTTGATAAAATTCTTTGAAAACTTCAACACACCTAATCTAAAAAAAAGGAATAAAGAGATAGTTATTAATTATAACCAAATTCTATAAAGTATCGGTAATGTAGAATAAAAAACTGAGCACCAGATGCTTTATATCAAGATCCAGATTACCATTTCTGCAGGAAGATTGAGATCAAAAGATTTGTAACTAGGCCAGAAGCCAGTAGTCAGAACCGTAACTGTCAAGTCTATACCAGGGTCTGCATTGGGATTATTGCTTAAATACTCCTCAAAACTCGTTTGATTCTCCTTTGCCAATGTCAAATCCGTAACCTGGTAAGAGAGGGAAAGCATTTAAATTTTCGTCAACCATCCAAAAAAGTTCATCATAGTGTTTCAGCTTATGTTTACAAAGAATAGAAAAAGGCTGACCATTCCTTCCATCTTTGAGGTAAACTGTCCACCACATTGTTGCTTCAATTTTGTCAAAATACTTCTCTCGTGATCATCATTGGCACTCTTGTCAAAGAGAAGTCTTCGAGCAAGCTTCTTCCTGAAAGCAACAAAGCAAAAGCCCAGTATTAATATTATTTTTCAAAAATCTAACATAAACAAAAGGGAATTCAGACATTCAGATATATGACATATCAACAAGAAAAGAGCTTTAAATTAGACCTGAAAACTGCAGAAAAATTTCTTTAAGGTAAATATGTCAAACAATATTAGGAAGCAATCATGTAAGCAAAAAGTTTAACAATGGCACCATAAATCCTGGTAGATCACTAGACACTCCAATGAGAATTGTTCTTACCTAAAATAATGTTACACATTACAAAACAACATAGGATATGTTTAGACTTCTACCATTAATTGTAGAGAAAAGGTCAGACAATTTCTAGAATCTTAGTCCAGAAAATTCCTAATTTCTCATTATGTTCTAAAGTGTTCAGATAAATTGATAAAAAAAAAATAGTCTAGAGACATGAGTAAATATAAAACTAATATAAGTTTCGTTCTTAAATAGCTGCACTCCACTTTGTCTCTTCAAATCTTCACCCCGATCAATTTCAATTCAGATGCCTACTCATCTCAACTTTTAGGTCTTTTCAAAAATACACTTTAGTAAACATGAAATAAAGTACCACTTCTCCCTAAAGCTTAAAGTGCTACGTAAAGACCAGTATTAGTTTTACATCTCGAAACATGTCACAGCTTAAGCAAGGGCATTTTGGGCCTAAAAGGTGGACTATGCCGAGATTAAACTAGAACAAGAGTATGACAAGGCTTGACTCCTAGCCATTTTATAATAGAGGGCTTTGGTCTTATTTCAAGGACTAATTCCCAAATAAAGAAGGCCAAATATTGGTGGTATTGTATCTCTAGATGTAAGGAAAACAAATTCTACATACAACAGAGCACATTTAATTGCCAGACAACCAAGAAAGAGTGGAAGCAATTTTTATGATTCAGTTATGAAATGAATATATAAACACTGGAGATAGTCGTTGGAAGGTAAAGATTGAAGCACCAGCCACTCAATATAATCCCTTTTTGACAAAGATATCCAACCTAACAATCATTATAAAAAAACAATTATCTTCTCATTAATATATTACCTATAGAATTCAGCAAACAAGTCTTTGTCACTGATATATGCAAGCAGCTTCACCACCTGCAGATAGACCAAAACAAATCGCAATTTCAAAAGTCAGGACTACATGTATCTTGCTTATTTACAGAAGTAAAAGTGGAACATCAAGAATGACACTGACCTTTTCTAGAGTCTCTTCAATTGCTTCATCACTTAATTTTTCACTTCCTCCTTTCTTAAGAATGTTATCACAGAAGGAGGCAAGCAGTTCTGCACTTGAACTTCCAGCAACACCTTTGTTGCAGAAGACCTCAAAAGCCTCTTTAAGAGCCTATATGATTAAAACATTCAGATCAGCAAGTACACATACCAATCCAACATAATTAAAGGCACTTCTATTCAAAACCTTGTGAAAAAGAGTGTGATTCTGGAAACAATCATTCACATATGCCAGGTACTTGTCATGCAGCTCAATCACTTTCCGAACAAAAACCTGAAGCAAGAAACTAATTTAAATTTTCACAACTTGAAAAAAAATAGTAAAATTAATAAATCTATTTTTTATCACCTGCTCTTGAAGACCAACAATATCCTTTTTTTCTGCCTGTACGTATTTTCATTTAAAAGGACAAAATAACTAGGTTAGAAACAAAATAGATTGCCCCAAAAAGTATGACATCAGTCACAACTAGAACAGTAAGAAAATACAAGTAAACGAAGCTATTAATAAATCATTTAGTCAGAAAGCAAATTCAAAATCTTGTCCAAAACCCCCCATTAACAATTTCGAACAGAAATTTCAATGGATCTATACTGAGATTGTAGATTGAAGACTCAGAATGATAGTGCACAGTAATCTCTCTCCTCAATTGCTGCGATCAAGAAATTAAACCTCAGCCAGAAATAAGCAAAACTGCGGAATAGACCTTTTTGTTGCTAGCTGCATCTTCAGCCTGCTTCACCAATGCCATACCTTCAGTGGTCACATGCTGACAAAAAAGGGAAAGAGAATGATAAGCAAGAGAGCAAGAAAGAAAGGAGAACAAGAGAGCCAAAAAATTGGCATAAAAGCGCAAAGATAGGTTCAACACGACCAACATGCTGAGAAAAGGGAAAGAGAAAGATAAGCAAGAGAGCAAGAAAGAAAGGAGAACAAGAGAGCCCAAAATTGGCATAAAAGCACAAAGATAGGTTCAACATGACCAACCAGCTTAAATATACTGGAAACAGGATCCAAGCCTCGAGGTATTTTAGAGAATAGCCTGAACATTCTTGACAAGTCTTCAACCTGAGCATTAAAGGAAACATGAGAACACTATATACTCTTGGTTAAAAAAAAGTGTACATATAAGAACATAAAGTTTCATAAGTACCTTGTCGTCTCTAAGTAAAGCATGACATCCAGAGTGCTCTTTCTCAAGGAGTTGGTTTGCATACACAGATAACAGTTCATGTTGAACTTTCTAAACAAAGAAATTTCCAGAAGAGCAAAAGAAAACACAAAAACTTCAGAAACTATAAAATGAGACGAAAGGAAACATTGTAATCATTAAAAAAAATCCTCAAGAACAGACCTCTAATAACTTTGGTTCACTACTAGAGTGCAAGTAATGTGCAACCCTATCTTTCTCCCGTTTTAAGCACTCCTCAGCCTGCAATAAAAAACATAACACCAAAAGATCATATAAAGGCCAAAAAGTAATGTAAATTAAGAAACCAAGTTACAGTTAGCATAAACAGGAAACCACACCTTGAGCATATAATCAGGACAAGAATCTTCAAGGATCCAGTTTGAAGCCTTTCGAGAATAATAAGCAGAAGTGTCTTTGAGCATGGCAGTTTCAAAATCATTCTCATAGTGATCCATTTGTCCCATTCCAATTTCAACAAATATGTCTAGTACATTCTTTAATAGAGCTCTATCAATCTGTTCTCCCTCACGTTCTTGATCAATCTTCATAAGCAAAAATACTTTATTGATCTAAAATTTATAATCACAGAAAATCTAGCATACATAGGAAGAAAAACATACAAGTGAAATAACTGCATCTCTAACTTTCCCGTTTACTTCCTTGTAAACCTGCAAATGATAAAACTCAAATTTATTTTGATGAAGTTGCATTAAATGAAACGAAAATAATAGGAAAGACATCTAATCTGCACTAGCATGCATGTCTTTTTTATAACATGTACAAGACTAGTTAATTGTAAGAAATAGTGCAGCAAAAATGTTTATTGCAACATCATTAGTTGCATTACCAAATCACGGAAGCAAGTTAGTCCAACTTCATTAAGGGGCGGAAGTGATCTCCGAGCAATAAAGTAGCGATCCAAATAGTGAAAGAACCGAGAAAGCCATCGAACCATAATTTTATGGTTTGCCCATCTCTTCACAAGTTCTCTCAACATAAATTCGTCATGCTTCTCTCTCAAAGAAGGCAATACCTGGACCAAAAGGAAAACAAGACAACTGACAAAATAAATAACAAGTACATTTCTTGAATAAAATCAAAAAATACAAGTATTTTATAATTGACATGTAGATAGTAGCCTGGTTCGATAACCAAGAAATCCAATTTGCTGGTACAAAGATGAAGTTGCACAACCACCTGTTTGAGTAACATTTTGGATTCTCAAAATCAATTTTACACTAAGCATAATTGGTCTTGAGAGAAGTAAATAATTTGACGGTGGGTAATGGCTTTGTTTTTAATATATAAGTAAATAGGGTAGATTTGGGATGCTAGCTTTGCTGTTATTTTAAGTAAAGGGTAAGAACAGCTTTCCTTTCACTATTTATTCCCATTCAAAGGTAGCCCGAAATGCAACTGATGGCTCCAGGTCAAGGATGTCTGCATTGAAGAGAAAAGAGACAAATGCGAGTTGAGCATTATTTATTCAGCCTTCAAACTTCCAAAGAGGAAAATGTGGTTTGTGTTTTGATCAAAGAAAAAGGAGACAAATCCCGAGATCCCTCCCCCAAACAGTATCATTCCAGGGGTCAAAAAAGGGGTCTTAGCCTCTGATGCAATAGAAGCCATAATTTGTTGCATCCCTAGGTGCAACAGCAAGCTACAACAGGCTTCCACAAAGCACCTCACAGCTGTAACACTGCTATATCGGCACTATAACAGACAACTGGCTACTATAGAGTACGCTGGTTAAAATTCTAAAATTTCAGGCCCTTCCTTACCTTCAATTTTCTTCCCATATTAAACAGATAAACATGACAAAGGCAACTTTTTTCTTCATTCCAACCCTTTTAACTCTAACTTTATTATTCCCTTTCCAATGAACTGCATATCTATAAAACATCCTAACGAAGCTTGACCACCAAAGGAGTCTTTTCTGAGCAGGATAACCTCAACAAATGCTGCTTCATTGTCTGACTACGATAAGCGATCTGTGTTTTGACTGCCTGCACCGCACGTCCTTTACCACCAAAAACTGGATGCGTGGTCGGTGGAGTTGCAATAACAAAGATTTATCACCCAGTCATGCTTCAGTCATCACGTGTCCTATATTTACTCATTTCTACAATTTGCTGGTTGCATTTAGGATAAAATGTTCCAAAAACATGATTCAATGGGTGATCAAACCACATTTTATACTTGCTTCAAAAAATTTGGGACAACCGCAACTTCTATAAGATGTACGAAATTTGGGACAATAAACATTCGAAAAAGAAAGAAAATAAATGCATCGAAGTCCCATAAAAATGTACGAAAACAGTTTAGTGGATTTTAAGCAACATATACCAATATCACTCCCAAAAAGTAAACGCGAATGGATATGACACTCCTAATTGTATTAAACTTGTAAGGCAAGAACGGATAATAACCAAATAATACACCAGAAAGCCTATCCATGAACCCAAAATCAAATGAGAGTGTCACTAACCGTCGATACAATGTACTCTTCAAAAGACTCCCTATACTTGTCATAAAGTTGTTGGGAGTAGTCATGAGGAGGCTTCTGAGTACACATATTGTAAATGGTCCTGCAATACGAATCAAGAAAATACAGCGCTCAGATAAGAAAATATATATACAAATTAAAAAAAAAATCTCAAACAACCAAGAACAAAACAAAGAAACAGTGCAAAGACGAATACGTATAAAGCATCATGTAGTCCTCAGAGCTGAATTGAGTCTCGGGCAGGCCTTCCAGGATGTTCTTGAGTTTGGTGATGCCCTTCTGCATGAAATCCCATCCCTGTTCGAGGTCGATAGTCTTCCGCTCACTCATCGACATGATGCCAAACAAAACCAGAGGAATCTGCACTCGTACGTCAAATAGTGGCAGACGCTAATTGAAATTGATAGGTACGGAGGTGGATGAGAGAAATCAATCGCCGCAAAGGGAGGAAGTATTTGCGGAACGAAACGGATTCGAAATGCGGAAAAGAAAAGCGGTGGCGATCGGGGTGGGAGATTGAGAGCGAGAGAGAGGTTGATTAAGGAGAGAGAGCGAAATAGAAAAGCGAACCCTAGAAACGGTTGGAGAAGGAGAAGAGGGGAAAAGGAAGGGTCGCAAGGAGGGAGGAGGAAGAAGAAGAAGGCAGAAGCATTGATGGGAAAAGGAAAGGGAACACACGACCCCTCTCCCCCTTCAAAAAAATCCTTCTCGACCAAAAATTGCTCTTTCGGTGTCGGGTCTATTATTTAAATAAGAATCCATCTTGTTCTTTAGTAATGATTTATGGTTTATTCATAAATAACACCCTATTTTAATTCTACTCTATTTTTCATTTATAGTATTTATCAACTTAATGGGATTAGATCATTCATTATATCAACTTATTCTGTTCATCGTTTCAAAACATACTAGGTTTTTTTTTCTCCACTTTCATTATTAACATAATTATTTTTATCATAATCTTGTTGCTCGACTATATAAATATTTTTAGATATCTTATGATTTTGTCCAACTTCTAGCACCTAATTGATCTAATTTTTTTTTTCTATATCAAAAGCATAAGTATTAGTGCTTTTGCTGTTTAGATTATAATATTTATTATGTTATTTAAATCTCATTTCGTTAAGATTGTGTTATTTGTTAACATATAGGTTGTCAGAGTGGTAAATTTTTTTAAGGGATTTAGAAAAATAAATAAAGAAATTAGTATACGTATAATGAAGAAAATGAATTTTTGTTGAACTTGATAAATATTTCATTAAGGAGATTTAATTTAATATTAATGAACCATTAATTTATATAAATATCACTTTTGATAAAAACTAGTATAGTATACGTATAGTTAAGAAAATATTTTTTTGAACTTAATAAGTATTTCATTAAATTTAATGTTAATGAGTCGTTAAATTTATATTAATATTAGTTAGTCATTAAAATTATACAATGGACTTAATATTGAGATATAAATTTATAAATATTATTGCATATTATTGTATTCAATTATAAAAATCAAACTCAACTAAATTTAATAGTTTGTTTACGTTACAATTAAAAATTAAATAAGATGATAATTCATTAATTTAATATTAATGACTCATTAATGAGCAAACTCACAATTCAATTTAACAGTTTCTTTACTTTACAATTAGAACAATTAAAAAAATAAATAAAATGGTAACTCATTATTAATGAGTCTTTAAATTTATATAAGAGACCTAATATCATTCTATATCTGTGTTGGTATTTTTAGAAGAAATTGTAATGAATACGTGGATGATTTTTTATTTTTTTTAAAGGTATAAACTTATATTCATGCTGCTTTGTTGAAAATCTATCGTGAGTCTAAGTTTCATATAGATAAAAATAAAATTAAAAAGTCTTAAGGTTTTGGATTAAAAATAAAGGTAAGTTCTTATGTGATTTGACCCATATTTCATTGGTGTTGTATCTTTTCAGTTATTCTTTCTAAATGTAACACTTCCTCTATAAGTGATTCTTTTTTAGTTTGTAATGATTTTTTGGATCAACAAGTAGTTTTAATAGTCTTTTAGCGTCGATGTTTACATTTGTGTATACTTTTAAAAAATGCTCTTGTTTGTGAAAAAAATTATTGTACAAATAAATGGTGTGATTTAGTTTTCATTCCTATAAAACACCATATTTAATTTAACATATAACCTCCATCTACTTATTTATGCTTTTTTCATAAAAAAATTATCATAAATTTGGTATGGTCGATCATACTTTGTATTTTTTTATTTTATTTTTTAAAATAATTTTTCATGATGAAAAATAATTAATAAATATTATAATTTGAGATGTCATAGTTTATATTAATATCTAAGATGAATTTATTTAGAAAGTGAATATATTAACTTGGAGATGATATAAGAGACTAATCTAAATATATTATATTTGTACGTGACTTTATCATTAAAACCTGATAGTTCAAGAAATTGACCGGTAATTCCTAAATATTAGAAGGAGTTGATTGGCTGGTTTAATTTTATAGTGATTAATTTTTCACACCATAGAAGGAAAAATATATATCATTGATTTATAAAGTTATTGTAAAATGACTTTTTAGTGTGACATCCTTTTAAGGGTTTTGGATGATGGTCGAGTAATGTTGTTTTTTTTTAATGAAGAATCTCATAAGTTTAACAAGTTTCATCGAATTATATGAAAAGTTTCAGTAAGCTCGTCTATATTTATTTTGTCAATACTAAATTTGTTTGTTTTAGAAACTAACTATATATAAAAAAAGTTTTTATCAACCCGTGTTGTTTGAAAATCTCAACTGCAATATGAAACAAACATTTTTTTTTTGTTTTAGACGTAGAAAAGTTTGTTTATAGAAGAAAACGTTGTTTATAGACTTTAAAATACAGTAGTATAAGCTGTAAAAATATGTCGACTGAGAATAATTAGCAAATTAGTTAATAATAAGTTAAAATTACGTACGTCATACATAAAGTAATTCATAAAAATTATATATTTTTAATTTGTTGTGCGTAAGTTAGGGAAAACTTATCTCATTTCTTTCTTCAACAACTACTTCTAATTAGTCAAAAAATAAAAAAACAAATCTTAAATATTTTATGCACTTATGAGACAATAATATCAAACGAGTATATGTAAGGGCATGTAAAAATTAATAAAGGGACCTTTGGGTCTTATGTGGGGCAGTCAGACCCATCAGATCAAAGGCACATGACCTTAGCAGGGTTTTTCTTTTAAGTCAGCTTTTCACTCTGCCAACTTTTCCTTCTCTCTCTAAAAACTCATCTTCTAAATATTGTTTCGTCTTCTCTTTAAAAGACAATCTGTTGAACCGTTCAATTTTTTAATAGGTGGTGTCAAACGTTCACCGCGTCAAGGGCTCCATAACGAACCGAACCGTTCTTGTTCCAGTAAACTGTGAAGTTAGGGGAGCTAATGATTTTTGTATGAATTTATTTTATACAAATATATGCAGGTTGAATGTTGAACTTGTGGATTCTTGTGAAGTTGTTCTACGATGTTAAATTTTTATTGGATAATTATATATGAGACTGTGGAATTGTGCTTAAATAATTTATGTTTTGGTGTTGAACTGGTACATTACCAAATAAGAACATGATATATATATATATATATATATATATGAACGTAAACTGATGCATGGAGGGGATCTCACTCATTGTAAAGCATATGAATGTGAAGTACAATGATGTAATTGAGTATGAAGTGGACATCTCAGGGTGAGATGATTGAAAGTGATGTGTGAGTGTTATTGTTGTTTTGTATAACTGTATGGAGCTTTGAACTGATATGTCTATCCCTATACCCAAAGCATTGTTCATGCTCAAATAGAGGAGAGCAGTGTAAGTGGTGAGAGTAGAGGGGTTCTCGTCTATAGTCTTAGAGTTTAGACATAGGCAGATGGGGGATTTACCTTGCATAGTGTTGGGGAGTGCCAGCTGAACTACGCAAGTGCAAAGACGACCAATATTTCGACAGTTATACCAATTTGGATGAGTCGTGTGAGTGTTTGAGTCATGGTTTAAAGTGGTATGCCTTGATTGTTCTTTATATGTAGCTAAAGACGATGATATTTATTGATTGAACTATATGATTACTGCTTGGTTATCTAGCTCACTCTTGCTTTCTTTGTTGTGTGCTGCTTGTGTATGTTTTTCTTTGCGATGATCATCCACTTGGATGATGAGAGCAGATGTTGTTAAGGAGGTTCCCTTGGAGCAAGAGTTGGAGGATGCTGATGATGCAGTATAGTATTTTTAGAATTTCTAAATTTATATAAAATAAATTCATACAAAAATAATTAGCTCCCCTTACTTGGAAAACTTCACAGTTTACTTGACAGGGATGATCTAAATAATGCTCCTCAGAGCAAAATTCAAAGTCACCCTATAAATCACCCAACGGTGATAGAATTAGCTTTTTAGGCTAGAAATTACCACAAATTTGAAGTTGAACACTTTTAGTGTCATGCATTCAGTAAAATAGCAATGCCCTAGGTGCTAGAAACGGTGGAAAAAAGAGAAAGTGACTTATCGGTTGGAATAAGAACCCGTTTGGTCCGTTACGGAGCCTTTGACGCGGTGAACATGGGTCTGACTGTCCCACATAAGGCCCAAAAAACCCTTTTATTAATTTTACAGACACTGACAACTATGTTTGAATTTTATTTACTACATTACCTTCTTTAACATGAACATCTTAGTAGATAACATTCATTAATTAATATTAACCACTCAGAAAATGAATCAACATAATTGTAAGAGGAATTGAGGAAAACCACAATCTTTGAATCATGATGATTAATTATAACTTTTCATTGTTTATGTTTCAAGAAAAAAAAATCTTTATAAAATTAACACTTTTTGAAACTCTTTTTTTTAATCGGAGACAGTATATTTTATTGAAAAAAAATATTTTAATACAACATATTTGTAATTTTTTTAGTAGTTCATTATTTATTTATTATTATACTTACGTATTTTAAACTCAATAATATAATAATACATATACTATGTTAAATTTATTGTCAAAATTTTTGTATTAACATATATTATTATCCTATTTGATTAAGACAATATACTTGCTTAATTTGCATGTTAAAACGAAGACTTTACATTTGATATTGGGACAATTGGATTATTATTTTTTTCTTTTTTGGGTAAACTATTTTTTAAGTTTGTGCTTTTCATATAATTTGTATTTTTTTTTCAAAGACAGATTAATCACGTATTCTGAATACTTGGATCAACTTCTATTTCGAGTTCTTTGTCTAAGGAATTTCTTAGATTATTGTCTCTTTCTTTATATTGATTATTTTATTTAAACTTAACTTCTAATTATGCTTAGTACTCTATTTAGGGATTACAAAATGGCTAAAGGAACCCAATGACAATGAAACAAATGAGCTGGATTTTTAAAAGAATAATGATTTACAGTTATGACAATTAAAACGCACAAAACAATTACTATTTAGAGATTAACAAATTGTGTAATGAGACAAAAGACTTGTAGGCTGATAATGAGACTTATGTGTCAATTCATCACATCATTCATATTGTTCGTCTAGATAATAAAAGTTCATAAAAGCATAATACTAATTTCAATAATCAATATTATTTAATAATACAATAACTAAATAAATTAATCTCCAAAAAAGTCCAACCAGACCGAACGAAAATTAATAAATATATATTTTTTTAGATGGAAT